TAACTACCTTCTTTCCCATCTAAAAAAAAAAAAAAAAACTAACTTTTTCAAATTATTTATTTTTTTCATTCTTTTAAATATAATTTTATTTTTGTAAAAGTTACATTTTTCTACTGTCATATTTTTCAAACGGTCATATTTTTTCAACGGTCATATATTTGTAACGGTCATATTTTTTCAACCGTCATATTTTTGCAACGGTCAGATTTTTCTAACAGTCATATTTTTGCAATGGTTATATTTTTTTACTTTTTAATTATAAATAAGGCATTCCCTCTCATCTGATTTTACCCTCAACTCAATTTTCTACTTCATCCAAACTTCCATATCTCTCTCTATGGCTTCCAATTCTCTTTGGCCACGCTTGTTTGGTAGATTAGGTTGAATGAGATTATGAGTACGGTGGAATTGAGTGAGGGGATTAGTAATGTAGTGGTATTAGATTGGAGATATAAGATAAAGAGTGTTTGTTTGTACACCACTGGATTAATAATACCATAGCAATTATTTTTGTTTGTATTGTTATTTTTAAATGGGATTAATATGTGAAATTTCATAAATGCCCTTCTTCAATTGACAATAAAATCTGGGCAAACAAATACATGAAGAACAAAATTGGGCAGCTTACATGTTGAAATATATTCACTACTAAAAAATCTGGGCAAACAAAATCACCAATCATTGAACAAAATCCGGGCAAGCAAATGCATGAAGAACAAATCACCATCTTCTGTGTGAGAGAGAGAACAATAATATTCACCACTAAAAACATATATTCATTTATAACATAGTCCAGCAACATGTCCAAAATGTATGAAACTGACTGTTCCCATACTTACTAAAAAGTGAGGCCTTTATCTCACAGCTTAGAATATGAAAATTTCAGAACATACCAGTAAGTCCTAGGGGTCATTTGCTGAAGTTATATTACATAATCATTGAGGACCATTATACAGCTAATTCAAAAGGACCATCATACAAATAATGTATTACATATTCAAAAGGACCATCATATAGCTAATTCCATACTCCAATAATAGACCCTTCCAACAACATACAAACCCACTCCATCTTGCCATCCTCCTCTAGACTGAAGAACAAATCAACCCGCTTCCCATCTTTGACTATCATTGATGCTACCTTCAACCTTTGGCCAGTACTTATTGGTAGTTTCAAGAGTTCTGTATTGGCCAACCTCCTTTGCTGGGATAGGTCATGTGAATACCCTATCCTATGAGCTATCTCTGACATCCTACTATTAGTATTTTCAAAGAATGCTCCAAAAGTAATAGCCATCTCAGATAGTTCTTGGGAAATCCCCGCAGCAGGTTTGACTCACTTTTTCCCTGCTTTAGACGAGTTAGGAGGTTTAGACGAGTCAGGAGGGTTAGTTGTATTACCTGAAGGTGACATTGAATAATCAATGTTAGTTTCATTAAACTAGAATTGTTCCACCGGGGACTCATCTCCTTTTTCTTTAGTTGTTTCCTCATTCTCCATGGCTGTAACTGATTCAGCTGGACCTTCAGCTAACTCACCAGTAACCCTATCCTTGCCAAACAGAATAAGCCAAACTTCATAATATGGAAATGGCTTGTTTCTCATTCCTTTTTCGTCTGGCACTTTCTGCACAAATGAGTTCTAAACTATCACAATTCAAAGTTTACTAAGCAAAAACCAATAAATTCAACTTTAGAAAGTAAAAAAATAGAAATTGTTTATACCTTAACATGGTTTGACCAAACATCATCACTATCGACAAGGACCATCTTCTCACAATCATCCCAGCCAAAACCACTAGCATTCACCATATCATAGAGAGTGCTATATTGTTTCCTCCACAACTTAATCTTTGATTCGATATGAGAAGAGGCTCGAAGATTGGTTCCAGCAAATGCTAGTAAGATTTTCTTCTCGCATAAATTGTAGAAGCCTGGCCTAAATTGGTTATTATCATGCTTCCACTTAGGATCACTTAAGAATACATCATTCATAGCCCCAATGAGAAAATCCTCCACACGCTTGTTCCAAAACCTTCGAGTTGCTTTTGCATTGTTCTTTGATTTTTTGGTATCTGTGTTATCCATACTTATATGCATATCATAACATTAACATCTCTCATAAATAACAAAGCAACATAAACAATATCTATTACAAATTCCACAAGAAAAATTTTCAAATATTTCAATTACATGTCTTATATTAAACATCCAATAACAAGAAAAAAGTTTCACATAACAATATTTAACAAAATAATATTCATTACAAATACCATCAGCAATATTTTGAAATAGTTGAATTACATGTCTTCTAGTGAACATCCAATGATAAGTATAAAAGGTTTCATTCAACAATATTTAACAAAAAAACATTTCTCCATTTGTAGGTTATTTCCCTGGCCTCTGCTTGCTTGCCATTCATTAAACATCTGGTTTGCCAAAGCAGTTCTCCAATCACTCCATTGATCAGATGTTTCTGCAACGTCAATGAATTCATCCCCTAATTCAGTTGAAGGAGGAATTAGGGGATCATGTTCATCATCATCAAATGGATCCACGGGCATTTCGCATTTTATGAGGTTGTGGAGAAAGCAAAATGCAGTAATAATGTAGAATTGCGTCTTGATTGGAAAATAAGAATAGGTCCTCAAAATTGCCCACCTCATTTTAAGTAACCCAAAACACCTCTCAATGGCGTTACGAGCAGAAGAGTGTTTCATGTTAAAAAAACTCTTCCGGAGTTGTAGGAGCACCCCTTTCTCTTAATGTGGAAAGGTGGTAACATTGTCCTCTATAAGGTACAAAGAAACCCTCCCCATTTGTGTAACCTACATCTATAAGATAGTAGTATCCTGTAGTTATATAAAATAATTTCACTACGTAAGTAAGAAATTTTTAACTTATAGAAATATATGCTATTTATATAAGGATTTGTAATTATCATACCCGTGGGCACTTTCAACCCATTTGGTCTACTGATTGTATCTCTAAGTACCCTAGAATCAGAAGCAGACCCTCCTATCCAGGCAAGACATATATGAATTGCATGTCTTGGGAGCACACACCTAATACATTTGTAGTAATTTCCCCTTTCCATGTTTTTTACCTTGGTTTGCCTATTGCTGGAGCACCAACCTTAACATAGGTTCCATCTAAAGCTCCAAGACAATTCTAACAATAAAAAATAATATAGAAATTAACACATTTCAACAAAAAAAAAAAAAATGTATTGCCTAAATCAATTTGCAAATGAGTTATACCTGAAACCACCTCCATTTATCATCTGTGCAATTAGCAATTGTTGGCTCGGGCGCCTTAAGTAAGACACCTTGGAGACGTAACACAGCCTTGAGAATATCATTGAAGTACTTACTAACTATTTGACCACTCCGCATGAAATTAAATTTGATTTTGCGGTTTTTAGTATAATGTGCAAGGAGATTCAAGAACATAGTTACTTGCTCTTCTAAGACAACATATTTAGAATCTCTTAGTCCAACATTTCGTACTAATCCACACAACAACATGAATGTAGGCCTATTCATTCGTAACATATCATGACAACTTACTTCACTATTTCTGACCAACCTATTCAAATGGTCAATTTGTGTCCTGTATGGATGAGGTGATCTATGCAATTGCAACCTAGCTTCGTTTGTCTCCAAGGTCGCATGTAACATTACCATGTACACAACAAATGCATAATTAATGGATGCAACAATATGTTGAAGTGATACAAATGCATGCATGAGGTCCTTCTTCCCTTTTGCAATAGGATAATTATTATCCATCTACTGACATAATAAAACATTGAATCAAACAATATAAAACCAAAATCAGCACCATAACAAAAACAAATGAATATACATATATGTTAGTATTGAGGGAAAACACAAGTAATTTGTTGCTGATTGAATTACTTTACCATGAGATAATACCAACCACAAGATTCAAGGTAACACCTTGTACCAAACATTGAATCAAACAATATATAACCAAAATCGGCACTTTAACAAATTCAAGGTAACACCTTGTACCAAACAAAGATGATTATCTAACTATGTTTTTCTGCATATATATGCTTTTACTAACTAGGCCAACAAATTTGTAAAACAACAAAATCATGAATATTATGGTTATCCAACTGTCATCTAAATAAAGTAAGAATAACATGTGGAGAAGTGAAGAAACTGTCCCTGGATACATTACAATGAAAAAACCCATCTAACTAAGTGGTGTGATATGCCTTGTTAGCAAGCCTCAGAATGTTCCACTGGTAGTACTAAATTTACTCAATATTTCAATTGTTTTTGTCCTTTGTCCTACTTTACAATGTGGTGGTGTTTTCCTACCCTTGCTTATCTCAAGTTGATCAAGAATGAATTACTGCTTGTAGTTTGTGTATAGTGTCCTGTTGTTATTTATATATTATATCTTATACTAAAAAACTAATAAGTCTCTCTCTCTCTCTCTCTCTCTCTCTCTCTCTAGTTGAGTTGAAGAAACAAAGTTCATGTGCAATTCAACTTCATAATATCTGTTATCAGTATGTAGCTTTCAAGGTATGGTTATTTTTTTGCTTTAACTATTATCTAGTTATTTTTGGTTAAAGCATCCTTTATATTATGTTATCAGTTTTCCTTGTGTAAATCTTATCTCCTTTCTACTTTATATAATGTAGGACTCAATTCATTGATCTAGATGCTTCTTAACACATAAGCACTCATATGATGATGACATTAAAGTGAAGATAATTTGTTTTGAAATCGAGACTTCTGGAGGTTCATGTAATTGGAAAATCATATTGGCATGTGAAGACTACATCTTCAAATAAATATTCTGTGTAACCTAACATAGGCATCATCAAACCGAAGTCAAAATGTGATTTCATGGGTATATACATACATACTCCATTTTCTTTCTTTTCCAGAATTTTATTTTTGTGTTTCTATTACACATAAAATTGTGAATAGTACCACCTTTTTGCTTAAGTTAAATACTTTCCCCAAAGCTTTGTTATGTAAAGTCATCATTAATGTGTTTCTAGAACAGAGAAATCCCTACTCAAATTAAGAATTTTGATTATGTAAAAGAGAACACAAAATCAACATGCAACTAATTGAAACTCCAGCTTCTCTCACCCATCAAACTCAACTAAAGTGAAAGAAATATTTAATGATATCAAACCCACATTGTTTTTGGTAAACATACAAACAACAAGCATGCACCAGTTAATCTTCCATTACCAACCAATATAAAAGAATATAGAAAATAAACTTACAATTGTAGAAAACCTATAACAGAACCAGGTGCAACCCATAACAAATAATGGAAAATTGACACAATCAAGTAAAATATTTAAACATATATCAAAAAGAAGAATAAAAGCCTCACCTTCCAAAAACCATTACAGAGAGTTTCTAGAACAAAATTGAGGATGAATTTACCCCTTGTTTTTCAAACAAAATATATACATTTGTTGTTTACAAATAATAATAATAATAATCACAAGTAGAAGCACAATCGGTACCTCTTGAAGGGAGAAAGAGAGAGAGACATTTATAATCGGTACCTCTTGAAAAAAATCCTTCAAGAATCCCAAAAATTGGACTAATAATCGCAATAAACACTCCATCAACCCACAAACCACTGAAACATCAACCAATAAAAAAAAAAAAACCCCTAACCATCACATGTATATCAATGGAAAAGAGAAGAGAATATAATTTTTTTACAAAATCAAGTATTATCGTAATTGATTGTTGATCCGATGTTCTCATTGGCCAAGATTTCTGGTCGTTTCCTTGCCACCAAAGATGTGTTTTTCTCGCTATTTCCTTGCTGCAAACACACACACACACACACACACACATATAGGCAACAATTGAGGGCAAAAGCGTATTCCAATCTCTAAGCCAGCGGATTGATTTTTCAATCCCAGCTCATCTGAGGGAAAGATAATTTGGTTGGGATGTAAGAGTAATACTCCAGGTGGAGTAGCAGTTCCACTCAATAAGGAAACAAACAAACACGTTATTATGGACCCCGCTTCACTGCTACTCCAATCCTACACTCTAATCAGCAAAATAAACATGGCCTTTATGGTATGCTTGTAAATGATTCTGATTTCTCTAAATCTGATAATGATTTGGAGATGTTCAAAGCTGTTACTATGGATGAAGAACTACTAGATAGTGAAATGGGATCAAGCTCACGTCGTGGTTCTGTTCGAGGTTATAAAGTCATTCATCGTGACCATATTCAAGATCATGAAAAGCTTTTTCTCAATTATTTTGCTAAATCGCTTATATATCCTCCTGGGCTATTTCGAAGGAGGTTTCAAATGAAGCGTTCACTTTTTCTTCGAATTCAAGCTACAGAAGAAGCGCACAATCCGTACTTTCTCCAAAAAAGAAATTGTGCTGGAAAACTTGGTTTGTCATCTCTTTAGAAGATAACTATTGCACTTAGGATGCTTGCTTATGGAGTAGCCGCTGATTTTATGGACGACTATGTGAGAATTGGAGAACGCACTGCAATAGAAAGCTTAAAATATTTTGTTAAAGAAGTTGTTTATATTTTTTCTAATGAGTACTTGAGGTCACCAAACAGCAATGACATCGCTAAACTGCTAACGGTTGGTGAAGGTCGTGGATTTCCTGGGATGTTGAGGAGCATTGATTATATGTATTAGAAATAGAAAAATTGTCCGACTGCATTGAAAGGTATGTATACTGGACACATTCATGAATCAACAATTATTTTGGAAGCTGTTGCATCATATGATCTTTGGATTTGGCAGGCATTTTTTGAATTACCTGGATCTCATAATGATATCAATGTGCTAGAAATGTCTTTTGTATGTACCGAACTTGCTCAAGGGCGTGCTCTTGCAGTCAATTACACCATCAATGGTAATTAATATACAATGGGATACTATCTCACCGATGGTATATATCCACAATGGTCAACATTTGTGAAAACAATTCTTTCTCCTCAAGGAAATAAGAAAAAACTTTTTGCTGCAGCTCAATAGGCAACAAGAAAGGATGTAGAATGTACATTTGGAGTGCTTCAAGCACGATTTGCAATTGTACGTTGACTGGCACGTTTTTGGAATACTAAAATGCTTAAATATATTATGAAGGCATTCATAATTCTACATAATATGATCATTGAGGATGAGCGGGATGACCATGGAGTAAAAGACTTCAATTATGATCAAATCGATGACAGTTCCCAATTGAATAATATATAAGAATTAAAATTTAAAAAACAGAGCTTATAGCAAGCTGCAACAATTTGAATAGTATTGGAAATCCTACAACAGTATCCTATTGCTACTGTTGCTACTAGGCATCTTGCCGCTACTATTGGCAGCTTGCTGCTACTACTACTTTCAACAAATAGTAATTCTCATTCATATATTTTCAACGCAAGTTATGCATCTTCTTTACAATCAATCCAAGCTACTATACAATAAAATTGCAGTAGAAAAATCTAATTTCAAACACATTAAAAAAAAAAAAACAAAATGAAGAGGTATTTAGTAAGAGTTATGAGGCCAAATTAATTGCATAACAAATATAAAACAAATACATCAATTGCATAAACTTTCAGGTCAGTAAGATCAATTCTGTCAACCTAAACAGAAGAAACATCAAATGAATATGTAGCCATAGAAGTTTCAAAATATGTGCAAAAATTATCATGTAACATAAAATATTGATTACATTATTTTTTGGGGTTAGTACAGGGAGCCACTATAAAAGTTTTCAAAAGCAGAACTGATCTGCAACATCTTAACCATCTATCTTATAGGAGACAACGCAATTGCAAACAAACAAGACATTTCTCCAATAAGTGATACAGATTAACTTATTAGGACATATTTTTTATTATTTTTTATTTTTTTGAAGACAAGCAGTACTTAATGGCCAATTTTGATTATTGTGTATTCATAACCTTATGATGTAGGGGGGGAGTCAGCATACACTTCAGCAATCAAAGGTTGAGCATATGACCTCAATTGACAAAGCAATTTGAAAATAGGAATTTGGCACTCACGGAAGATTTACTAAGGGCTTAAAATAAGATACCAGGGGCTGGTTTCTAAGGTTATTTTTCTTTATGTAGCTAATTCAAACATCTGAGGTTTGTCCTGGAGCAAAGATAGAGATAAAAGCCAATTCAAATGCCCATTGACTTGTCCTGACACATATTTAACTTACTTCCAATCCCCTTAATAGTTTCTATTACTTTACTTAAAAATCTTATTCAATCTGCCAAACTCTAATTGATTTGGTACCAAATAGATTGAAATTTCATATGGCACATGATTGGTATTGAGTGTTGTTATATTGAAATATCCTAAGCCCTGTTTTCATGAAATAATCAATCAAAATTGGATATTAATGAATATTTTAGTCAAATATGATAGAAGAACTAATACAAGAAATAATTGGGTACAATTTACAATCTCTATTTTAACAAAAATTACAACAAACATATGGTGTGCAATACAAATACATAATATTTCCTCGTTTACAAGTAGTAAAATCATGACCTATTGATTAAGAACATGGAGCCATAACTTGTTACAACCATTTATGAGATGAGATTAATAACAACGGAAGCCACAAAGCAAAGGAGAGAATATACATTCACTTGGATTTCCTTCTATAATCGCAAATGACAAAGCAATGTGTAATATTTTTGCCAAAATCAACAAATAATGAAATAAGAATGCAATAATCTGAACATTTGCTTTCATATTCTCCAATTTCTTATCCACTATTGATTAAGGCCGAATTGTGCAATATTGAGGTCGTTAATTAGGATCTCTTAACTTTACTTGCTTGTCATACTATATTTTATGTGTGTTTAATGTCAATCAGGTTGTACATAGTCGGAACATAAAATGGGCAAAAAGACAGAATTTGGAGAGAAAACAGATTTCTGCATGTGCGTTGACTTTCACGCATGTGCGTTGACTTTTCTAGGAAAATGGGCCCGATGTTCTAAACCTGTTTGTAAGACATCAGAAGTATAAATAGGCAAGAAAAATGCTGGATTAGGGTTTGGAAATTATTTTTGCAAGGAAAGAGAGGCTAGGGTTCCAAGAGGTGATTTTCTCCAAAAAACTTCAAGGACACTTCCATGGGGTCTTCTTTCTCTTCCCACTCCTCCATGAGTGGCTAGTCTTCTTTTCTAGGGTTTTGATGAAACCTTAGCCATGTAATTAGGTTTTTCTTTTTGATTTTTAATTATGTAAAGGTTTAAACAATTGTATGGTGTTTTAGAAGTTTTTATATATATATATATATATATATTTTCCATTATTTCTTCAAATATTCAGTTTTCTGTGATTGTTGAATGTTTTCCATACAAGAGTTTTCTATTCTTTCACATTCAAGGTATGAGACAGACCATACTACGAAGGACGATTCGTGTCACTACCCTAGTTTAAAGTGAACAATTCATACTACTTGAGATGGTTCGTGCTCGTACATTGAACGTGATGATTTTCTTGTTAAATGCTTTGAACTTGTAGTTGCAAAGCATTATCCCGTTCGAACCATAACATAATTGATTTCAATTGGAAACCCTATTTACGTGACTAGTGGTGGACTCTTTGCCCTAGGTTTTTTCCCAAATCAGTAAATCAAATTTTATTTGTAATTGATAATTTAATTACTTAGTTTAATTTATTTGTTATTAAATTAGGTTATGAACAATCAATTTTTTCATTAAAATTAATTTAGGAATTTAACAATTAAATTAGTTCAATTTCACAATTGTCCCTGTGGATCGATACCTAGACTTGCCATTATTCTAAAAGAATTTGGTGTAGTTTTGTGTTTAATTTTGGTGTGTAACGACGCATCAAATTTTGGCGCCGTTGCCGGGGACTTCTGGCGAAATTAATTAATTTAAAGTTATATTCTTATTTTAATTTTTAGTTTAGGATTTTATGCTTTCGTGTTACTAGTGTGTAGAGCGTTTGAAAGTGGAAACTATCACCGAAGTGCAAGCGGAGCACAACCGAGCTTAAAAAAAAAAAAACACAGCACTAAAGTACTTAAACAGAAGATCACACTGGCAAGCAAAGCACCAAAGTGCTAAAAAGAAATACAAAGCTCAATTAGAGGTTGGAGACAACGTCTACGCGTCAAGCACCTGCAAGACGAGTAAAGCATTTTCGTTAAACCGCTATGAATATTTCTCCCTTTGTTATTTTACTTTCGTAACTTAGTGCACAGAGTTGGAATTTTTTGTGTGTGTGTGAGTAGTGTATGCACGGGCGCCATTCTTGTCGCCCTGAATTGTGGGGTTTAGACCTTGAACTAGAAAGGACTCTTAGGAGACTTAGAGCCTCTGTCCATGTTCCTAGGCTTGAATATTCATATTCATACATTGAGCCATTAGAGATGGAAAATCCAAATGTCCCGAATGTGCCCAACCGGACCCTTAAGGATTATTTCACACCCACTGCATATACATCACCATCATGCATCCAATTACCCAACACCACTGATGCTCATTATGAGATTAAGTCCAGCACCATACAAATGCTCTCATCATTCCATGGACTATCTTATGATGATCCTTACAAATATTTGAATAAATTTCTGGAAATTTGCTCGACAGTAAGGATCCAGAATTTCACAAATAAAGCCTTAATGTTACGATTGTTTCCATTCTCATTAAAGGATAAAGCCAAACACTGGCTGAATTCCTTACCTGCTAATTCAATCACAACTTGGGACCAACTATAGCAACGGTTCTTGGAGAAGTACTTTCCCATAGGTAAAACCAACCAACTTAGGCGAGCCATCACCAATTTTGCTCAAATTGATGGGGAGCAATTTCATGAGACGTGGGAAAGACTTTGTGACCTTCTCCAACAGTGCCCCCACCACCAAGTGCCTGATTGGCAACATGTTCAAACATTTTATTATGGCTTAACTGAGTCACACTGCCAAATGGTGGATTCATCCTGTGGTGGGACATTCATGTCCAAAAATGATGCCCAGGCATGGCAATTGTTTAAGAACCTAAGTGATAATTCCCTTCACCATGCCTCCGTAGCCCGGCAAGTCCGGCAACCAATAGTTGGAGCCCCGAAGAGAGGGGGCATTTATGAGGTCAGGCAAAACCTAGAGTCAGCCCAACAAGTAGAGGCATTGTCCTGCAAAATGGACCAATTATTAGCTGCGGGACATGCCCCTACACAGCAAGATCAGCCTCAATTTCACGAGGCATGTGTTATATGTGCGAGCCCTGCTCATGACTTGAGTAAGTGCCTTTCGGCATCACAATTTTCGGAGTTAGTCCAAAAGCATGTGAATGCTGCTCAAGGATTCTCCAACCCGGGTAATGACCCATATTCCAATACCTATAACCCCGGATGGAGAAATCACTCCAATTTTTCATGGAGACCTCCTTCACAAGGCACTTCTTACAATCCTCCACCACCAATACAGAATTTTAATAATTTGCCAACCAATCATCTTACCGACCACCGCAACCTTATCGACCCCCACAACCGTACCGGCAACCACAACCCTAGTTTGTACCTCAAGGCAACTCGGCCTTTGAGATTCAGGTATTAGAAGTTCTCTCAAAACTTAAGGGGTTAGCACCAGTAGTTCACTCCCATACTCACTCCATTACTAAGCTAGAGAACCAATTGGGTCAAATGGCTAACAACATGAATATGAGAGACGAGGGAAAATTACCGAGTCAAACTGTGGCCAACCCTAAGGGACAATACGGGACAGAGAGTTCGGGTGGAAATAGAAAGCTGTGACAACCCTCACCACTGCTTACTGATAACATTACTGATTAGTGCTAATCTATGATTAAGCATGTTAATTGACTAACTGACTGACTGAATTATTAAACTGATTGATTGATTGTGCTAGTTTGAATGTAATTCTATCTGTTGACTATTAAATTATCTGTTCATGTTTTATGCTTTAAACTGCAAATTGAAGGCCTTATCGGCGGCCGAATCTGAAATTGATTAATGTTTTGTGCTAATTAAGATTTATATGATTTTATGGTATATTTAATTAAAATGTGATTTGGTATGATTAAATTATATTAAATATTGATAAATTACAAGAGTTGACCTTATTTACAACTTTGCCACTTAGTGGCCCACTTCATATCATATTTTGAGGCTTGAATTATACATTAGATACATCATTTCCTCAGCCATTCCATGAGACCAAAACCGACTAGAGAGAGAGAGAGTTAGGAGAGCTTGGTTTCAACAAAGATTTGCTTGGAGACTTGAAGAAATTGTAGAGAATTTGTACAAGTGAGCTTATATCCTTGAGTTTAAAGACCTAAGGTTAGAACTCATCTCCTTGGTTGTGAGTTTAAGTTGTGTCTTGCATGGTCTATGTTAATTTTGAAGTTTAGAGCCAAGATATGGCTTAATGTGTTGAATTAAGAGTTTAATTCTTGCATGCATGTATATATTTTGAAGTTTTGAGGTTGTAGTTCATAAATTCCTCACATGCATGTCCATATCTTGAGTATAGTCCATGAATTCATCTTGTTATAGAAAGAATTGACTCATTTGTTCATGTTTTGAAAGCTTGAAGTTGATTAAATTCATGCATGTTATGTTTTACATCATGTTCATGGAATTTGTTTGAATTTGTGTTCAATTGAACTACCTTTGGGCCTTGATTTTACAAATTGAGCTTTGAATCATGTTAAACTATGAATTTACAAGTGTTTTCCAGAAAATTGGCCCAAGAGGATCGAATTTGATATATTGAAACTTGATTTTGAGCTTGAGGTTCAAATCTGGAAATTCCAGATTTTGGACTCCCGCTCGAGTGGGGTAAGTGGCGCTCGAGCGGGAAATTCGTGTATCCAGCACTTTTGTTGTGTTTACAGTCCGCTCGAGCGGGCTTTTGCACGCTCGAGCGAGGACTTGTGTCACACGCTCGAACGGGTGTCGAGCGCCCATCGAGCGTGATTTTCACACATCCAGTACTTTTGCAGTCCGCTCGAGCGGGAAAGTTTACACTCGAGCGGAGCCTTTTGTTTGCATGTCCGCTCGAGCGGGGAAACCCACGCTCGAGCGGGACCTCTGTTTTCTAAAAATTCTGAAAATATTTTTAAAGTACATCTTTGCATCCTCATTCCATTCTAGGCATTCTTAGGCCTAGTTTAAGGTATCTTAATGAGGATATTGATGTAGAACCACATCGAGTCAAGATAGGGATTAAGTTATTATTTCCCAACTATGTAGCTTAGTGTGTGTTCACTCTGTAACTGTGTAGGGTTGGCATCCGAGGACGCGTACTAGCTTATTTGTAGCCCAGAACTCTGTGAGTAACTATGTTGTAAAGATATGTTCAATTGAGATTATTTTCTGAATAAATGACTGTATTGCTTTATGAAATGACACTATTTACTGAATGAATGTTTGTCCTATTTGTGAACTGTATTCATGGCATCCATAGCAATTTACTATTACTGAACTGTTACTACTACTGTTACAAAGATCTCTGTCGGTTCCCACGTTGGAACCACTACTGTTTACTGATATGATGGCCATCAACTGACTGTTCGGTCTGTTAAGACCTACTGTATTGTTTGCTACTGGATGTACCACTTATGACTGCTATAATTGAATAACTGATATACTGTTCAAATGACTGTTTTAAATACTGAAAGGACATTCATTCTTAACCTCTTTACGCATATGTTATTCACTGGGCTTTAGCTCACTACTCATATATATATGTAGGTGTTCAAGCACCGGACCGTTGCTAGGGGCGTCAAGCTTAACTCCTGTTTTGTCAAGCCAACCTTTGTGCCTCACTTTGAGGTTCCAGAACTATTCAAGCTGAGGCTGCTTGGGGTGTTTTAGTTTTCCCCCTCTTTGTTTATGTTCTGTATAGACTGAATGATATTGTACTGTACTGTTCTAATAGGGATTAAGTCTTTGTCCTGAATGATTGTATATATTGTACATACTGTTTTGGTACTAATTGTACATATGTATTGAAAAGTCTTTTTTGCATACAGACTGTCACAGCTCATTGGACATCTTTTAGTTACTGTTTTGGCTTCCGCCAACCCCTGTACTCTGTATTACTGTATTACTGTTAAGCAAGCCTTTGGTAATCTCGAATTACTGGCCGGTTACGGTACTAAACCCATAGGGGCGGGTTTGGGTTGTGACAAAAGCACCATAAGCAGGTGCAAGAGGTGATTACTATGAGAAGTGGGAAGGAGTTAGAGCCTCAGTCAGTTGCGTCTGATGTAACTAGAGCTAAGAAGGGTGACCACGGTGGTACACCCAATGAGAGCAAGGGTGAGGGGGAAACACATAAGAGGAATGACTTAGTCCCTAGCACTTCACATAAGCCCAAGGCACCATATGTGCCTAAGGTACCCTTTCCCCAATGCCTTGATATACTGTCCCCTTTTAATAAGAAGGCGGCATCCATGGAAGCAATGATGGAGGTTTTTAAACAAGTAAAAATTAACCTCTCCCTGTTGGAGGCGATTAAGCAAGTACCTTGCTATGCGAAATTTCTGAAGGACCTTTGTACGCAAAAGCGTAAATCTAGGACACGTGTCCCAAAAGGTCATACTCACGGAGCAAGTAAGCTCCATCTTGTTTAATGACACACCCCCTGAGCTTAAAGACCTAGGCGCCCCAACCATTACATGCATTATAGGGGACCATTTCATTAATAAGGCCTTATTAGATTTAGGGGCTAGTGTCAATTTGTTGTCGTACTCTGTGTACGAAGAATTTAGGCTTGGCGAGTTGAAGCCCACTACTGTTACTCTCCAGTTGGCTGACCGGTCTCTCAAAGTACCACGTGGCATGATCGAGGATGAGCCAGTAAAGGTTGATAGGTTTTACTTTCCTATTGATTTTTTGGTGTTAGATATGGAACCGGTAGCCAGTTCTAGGAAACAAATCTCGGTGATTTTAAGTCGACCTTTCTTAGCTACGGCCAATGCCTACATTAATTGTCGTACCAGGGTTATGGAAGTTTCATTTGGTAACATGCAAGTGAAACTTAATGTTTTCCAAGCATCCCAACAATCCCATGAGAGAGAGGAGTGCTTATTTGCGGATGTTGTGGATGGGATTGTGAAGGAGGCTTTGCCCTCTAGAGGCTTGTCTAGCTCATTTTGGGTTCGAAAATTCTGATATTGACAGGTCGGTTGAAGAGGTGAATGCCTTGCTTAATGCTTATTCTACACTGGATTTTCCTCCATGGAAAGCCCGGTTTGAGTCTTAGTTGCACGAAGCGGGAGCGGGAGCGGGAGCGGGGGCGGGAGCGGGAGCGGGGGAACGTGACCACTTAGAGGAGTCATAAATTAGGAGCGCTTATATATTATTTTTATTAATTATATTTTTAATTCATCTATATGTATTTTTTTAATTGACATACATGTATATATTTTTTTTAATAAATAAATTGACAAATATTTTATAAATTCCCATTAGATAGACAAAATATATCATTAAGGTTGGGCAAAAAAATTAAGCATCACCACAAAAAAACAAAAATCCAACAAAACAACAAAAGTTCACCAATCCACAAAAGTAGAGTTGCTACCAAAAACAAAGATAAAAAAGAAAAAGAAAACAAACAAGACAATTTTTGATTCATTTTTTCTCCAAAGTGCACCAAATCCTTCATTTCTTTTGCTTTTTACCCCTTGCCTTTTCAAGCCTCCTCTGTGCTCTCTCTATCTTCTCCATTGAAGAAGACTCTTGAATAGTTGGAGTTGGAGGTGGGCAAGATGGAGAGGCAGTAACAGTTAAAGCTAGGCTTGGAACACCAACATCATCAAAGTTGTTTTCAGCATCCTCTTCACTATCTGAGAGAGACACATTATCCCTTTGTTCTATTGTAGTGAAATCCTCCTCTATGTTGGCATCTTCTGGATAGGCATCCCAATTATTAAAGTCCTCATAATCATCCCTATATCTTGTCAACAACCTATAATTTGTTGACAAAAGAAGAACAAATATTATACTATAATAAGAAAAAAAAAACAAAAACTAGAACATAATAGATAATACAAATAAAACAAAGAAGAAAAGAATAACCTATGATTGTAGTGCACAAAGACTAATTTTTCACCACGATCCACATTCAACTTGTTCCTTTTCACATTGTGAATGTAGGAATAGGTACTCCAACATCTCTCAGCACAAGAAGTGTTTACACTTTGTGACAAAACTTTTATTGCCAATGAAAACAATTCAGGAGCAGCCCCACCATACATATGCCACCATGATAATGCAGTCATGGTTGCTCTATCTTTCACAGCTTGGGGTTGTGCAAAAACACCTTTTTTACTCACAAAATCGCTAATTTGATGGCGTATCAAAGAAGCTTCATTTTGGTCAACAACAATTTTTTCAATTGCTTGAAGATATCCTGTTTGCACCTCTTTATCAAAATGAGGCTTCTTCCTACTCACACCACCAGGAGCTGGCTGTGAAAGCCAAGAATTTGTGTAGTACTTAGGAACAAGAACATATGCAAGGCAATGTAGAGGAATATTCATTTTATCCCATCTTGCCACCACATATTGTTGAACCAAATCATAGATTGTAAGATCATTACAAAGAGAGTCTTTGATATTTCCTAACATTGTATCCATTTGCTCATAAACCTCCCCAATAACTGCTTTATCAGAATCAGAAAAACGAAGCATCTTATATACATGCTTTGTAAACTTGAGGACTTGTTTTGATTTTTTCCAAAAGTCATCATCCATAATTGTTTGTTGGACAATGTCATGTTGCTCTGGTGAGGATGAACTCCTCCTTAAGTTATCCTATTGCTTGCTTAGAGCCATAGACATTAATGATGGTCTCACTTTAACAAGTCTTTGCAATACAATAAAATTATGGCCAAACCTGGTTTTTTTTGCTTTGAGAAGCTCCAATGCTGAAAAGGTCTTGAACAAGTACCGACAAGAGGAGTGATTTTTGATGTATTTAACAATTGCCTTGCCTTTTTTGTAAGACTCGTCAACAAAGGACAGCAATGAATCCTCACTTTTAGCTATATCCTTCATCAACAGATTTAACGTATGAGCCATACAACCAGACCAAAAAATATGGGCATGCTTCCGCTGAATTATTGTACCTGCAACCTTGCAATTGGAAGCATTATCTGTCACAACTTGGACCACATTAGAAGGGCCAACATAATCAATGGCCTTCAAGAGCAACTCAGCAATATTAGCCCCAGTCTTTTCTATGGAAGAAACATCATGCCCATTTATAAAAATAGCTTTACCTCCAGAGATAGCCATGATGTTAATAAGAGGTTGGTTTATTAAATTAGACCAACCATCAGAAATAATAGAGACCCCATGAGTGCTCCAATCCTGCATCAAGGGAGTGAGAGATTGTTGCACCTTCTTATGTTCTTTGTCCAAAAGAGCAGTCCTAACTTTCTCATAGTTGGGGGATTTGTACCCTTTTGGTGCATTGAGAATAGAAGAGACCATATCTGCCCATAATGGTGACCTCACAACATTGAAAGCAATGCCATTGCCGTAAATGCATCTTGCAATCTTCTGATCAACTTCTTCTCTACTAGCTATTTGAAACATTTTGTCAACTGAAGATTTTCCAGTGGTCTGAGATGGTTGCTGTGTCTTTGAAGGCATGGGAATTTTTCTAGACTTACAATTTCCACCAAAAATTCTTTGTGTAGCCAACTCCTCTTCCTTTAGTAATTCCTTCTCAGCCTGGCTCAGCTTTGGACATACTCCTATCCCTTGATATCTTTGGCCTGGTAATTTTCCAATTAAGTGTTGTCGAACTCGTGAATAAGAACCAGTATATGCCTCTGTTTTGCAACCAAAATTGCAAATGAATTTCATTGATCCACCTCCTCCAGGTTTGGCACTAGATGCTTCACCAGGAACTTTTGTAACATATTTCCAAAGTGGAGTTGCACTTGGTTCTTCAACTTCATCTTCAGAGTCCATGTTTTGACTATGGGGATCCATGAAAAATCTGTTAACATACAACACATTATTACAAAAAAAATATTTATGTAAATGAAATGGAAAATCTGGAAGATTATTACAAAAAAAATATTTCTGTAAAAGAAATGGAAAATCTGGAAGTGTTTGGAAGGATATCATACCTTTGTTACAGATGAATATATGCTCTGCAGATAGGAATATATGAATATGCAAACTCTTGAGTTTTTTTTGGTGCACTTCTTTTGCATTCGTTTGCCAGCTCTTGAGCATATTTTTGGTGCTCTTCTTCTGCGTTTGTTGCTTTGCTTCGCCTCCATCATATAGAGTTGGTGTTGGCGTTGGTGTTGATGGGAGAGAAAATAACCAAGTTCCTAGAGAGAGTGATTGTAGCAGTGTCCAAGACAATTGTAAAGAAAAAAAAATATAGAAACTCAAAGTGTCTTTTGGATCTGCAATGGCCATTAATAATAATAAAATAAATTTGTACGTATTCTTTGAATTTTTGTCCACTCAGAGAAGCAAATGAAGCAAATAAATAATAAAAAATTGAATTGTCAATCCTAAACATTAAATGAGAAGCATGTGTATGGCAGGTTGATAGATAGTTCAACAATTTTCAAGAAATAAAGTGTATGGCAGGTTGATAGGTAGTAGAATGACTGTTTGGCTCAACAAATATAAAAGGGTTTATTACACTTTGTATATTAACTATCATCAAATTATTTATTTAGTTTTGAAATAATTTGTTTAGTTCTTAAATTATTGATTGAATTTATTAAAATTTTAAAATATTTAATTAAAATTTATTTAGTCTTTAAAATGATTATAAAAATAAAATATAAGTCTATAAATATTATAAATTAATAAAACACCCTATTTAGTTAAAATTTTATTTCGAAAATATCTTAATTTTTTATTCTGTCTTTATAAAGATAGGAGTAATTATATATTTTAAGGACTAAATTGATTCAATTGATAGTTCAGGGGCTAAACAGATAATTTGATGATAATTTAAGGGTAGGAAGCGCAATAAACCCAACATGAAATTGGGTTTCAGTTAATTAGTGTACATTTAAAAAATAAATTACTAATAAGTAGTGAACTATTTTAATAACCCAACTATATCTTGTGGTCTATATTTGTAATCGGGTGTTCCTTTAGGCTAAGTATGTGCACAGTTTGATTAATTTTAAAAATCGAATCTCATCGTTCATATCTGAATTGACACTTGATCTAATCTCTTGAGATTTGAATTGGCATAGTAGATTTTCTGATCAATTGTTTGAGTTTATGATTGATAATCAGTCTCTGAGACTTTGTCATATGTCACTCACCAACTTACTATTTGATAAATGATCTAATCTCTTGAGATTTGAATTGGCATAGTAGATTTTCTGATCAATTGTTTGAGTTTATGATTGATAATCAGTCTCTGATACTTTGTCATATGTCACTCACCAACTTAGTATTTGACAAATGATCTAATCTCTTGAGATCTGAATTGGCATAGTAGATTTTCTGATCAATTGTTTGAGTTTATGATTGATAATCAGTCTCTGAGACTTTGTCATATGTCAGTCACCAACTTACTATTTGACAAATGATCTAATCTCTTGAGATCTGAACTGGCATAGTAGATTTTCTGATCAATTGTATGCATTGTGATTGATACTCAGTCTTTGAGACTTTGTCATATGTCACTGACCAACTTACTATTTGACAAATGATCTAATCTCTTGAGATCTAAACTGGTATAGTAGAATTTCTGATCAATTGTTTGCGTTTGTGATTGATACTCAGTCTTTGAGACTTTGTCATATGTCACTGACCAACTTACTATTTGACAAATGATTTAATCTCTTGCGATCTGAATTGACATAATAGACTTTCTGATCATGTTTGAGTTTGTGATTGATAATCAGTCTGTCATATGTCACTCACCAACTTACTATTTGACAAATTATGAGATGAATAAAATTTTTGTTATTTTATTTGTACCATTTATTTAAAGCCAACCCAACATATTTGGCAAAAAGAACTTTTAATCCTAACCAATTATGAAAGTAATATGAGTGTGCATTTGGGGTTTGCTTTTTTAATCTTTTTGTTTTAGTTAACAATTTGTTTAGTTAAAGACAAAAAAAAAAAATTAAAAAAGTTTTAATCCTAACCAATTATGAAAGAACTTTTAATCCTAACCAATTATGAAAATAATATGAGTGTGCATTTGGGGCTTACTTTTTTAATCTTTTTTTTTAAGTTAACGATTTGTTTAATTTTTTAAAAAAGTTTTAGGTTTATAGATTCTACACAAGAATCATAAAATTAAAAATTTTAAAAATGTCCAAGAAAAATAAAATTAAACAAAAAATAGTGATTTATTTGACTTATTTTGAATTTTTAAAATTTTTTTGAAAATTTTGAAAATTTTATTTTTTAAATTAGTTTACACGAGGAACTAGAAAAAGAAAAAAATTTACATAATTTTGATATTTATTATTTAAACTGTAACTATTTATTCTGATATAATTTTATATTTCTTCTTAAATTAGTTCACGTAGTTAATAATACAATAGATTGGTAATGACATGATATTACTGTTAAATTAAATTTTTTAATAATATTTAATTCATATATATATATATATATATATTATTTTAAATAACATATAATGTGACATAATTACAATACAATAATGATTGTGTTTTAGAATTTTTCTTAAATAAAATTTTTCTTTTCAAAAATATTAGACACCATAAATGAATTGTCAAATATTTATTAAATATTGGCAGTGTATTTAAACTCACATGAATATTATATAAATTATTTAAAAATTCGTATTTAAAATTGTTCTAGTAAATTGTTTTTTGTTATTTTCTCTGTTATAATATTATCATGAGAAAATAACAGAATAGTGATGATAACAGTAAAATAAATTATTAAATTATGAAAAAATATAGCATTTATATAATTTTTTTCACTAATAAAGACAATATATTTTTTAATAAAAACAAAAAATATATCAATTTTGAGGCATTTGTTATCGCGGTTCAATATTTTTTTATATAAAATCTATACACTTTTTAATACTTCTTCCGTCTCAAAATATTAGTCTCTTATTTTATTTTTTATTTTTTCAAAATATTAGTCACTTTTTAAAAATCAAAGACTAAAATAATATTTATTTTTTATTTTGCCCTTCTTTTAAATTAAGGGTAAATTACAAACACCTCTTTAGGTTTGATTAAAATACAAATCGCTCCCTGTGGTTCTGAAAATTACATCTCACCCTCCGAGATTTCTAATTTCATAACAAATCGCCCATTTTATTAATGAATTATTAAGCCAATTAACGATTTTTAATGATATTAAAAATATGTTTCAATTAATAATTTAAGTAATTTTATTCATGTATAGGAGATCGACTATGAATTTTTTTTTTTAATTAATTATGTTAAATAAAAAATTCTAATAAGGAAGTATTTGTAATTTTTTAAATCACAGAGGATAATCTGTACTTTAAGCAAATCTTAAGGGATATATTTATAATTTATCCTTAAATTAATTAATATCACAAAAAATATAATTATGACAATTTATATTCTCTAAAAAAATATACTCTCAAAAAATAATTTTCAAAAAATAATTTTTTAAGGTAAAATAATTATACTATAAAAAAAATTAAATTTGCCAAAACAAAACTATATTATTTTTGAACGAAGTGAGTCTATTTTTTCAAACATTTCAATTTTAACAAGTGAGGTTCCTTATTATATTTGTTAATCTACAACACTATTTATTGTATTATTTCAAAGAGAATAATTAAAGCCTACACCCATAACCTACACCTATTTGTAGAGGGCATTGGAGATCTAAAAGGTGAGATTGAAACAGGCTTTACTCTCTCACCCAAACCTCACCCAAACTCGGTATATACACCCATTTAAAAAAAACTCTGCATATACCCCTCTCTCTCTCTCTCTCTCTCCCTCCCTCCTTTATACCTTCGATGACCAACGTTCCAGCTGCTTCTTGCCGACTGACTCCACTGTAGTTCTTCCTCCATTCTTTGACAAGTGCTAGGTCTTCTCAACTCCACCACATAGTTCCTTTTCATCCAAACAGCCCCAGTATCTATCTCCTCTGTCCACACCAAACATTTTCCAACCTCAGACCCAGCAATTGCATCACCGACGGCAGACCCAGAGCCATCCTCACTGATTATGGAGTAATGGATGTATGAATAGATGTGAACCTGTTCATGAAATTGCCAATCAGATTTAGATATACCCAAATTTTGTAAGTAATATTTGAATTTAATGGATATCTCGTATGTGCTATTAATTTTTTTTTTTTTTTTTTTTTTGTATATATGCTTCATATTTTTACCCAAAATCTTGATCGAATTTATTTTGCATCTGGTCTGGAGTTGTTTGATTTTGATAGACGGTTTCATCTCACAACGAAACGCGATTTTCTCTCTTAAGAATCGCGTTTCTTACACGATTTTGATTCAGGAACGCAAAATCGCGTTTCTCCCACAAAATCGTCACCTACTGTAACGATTCCTGCTACTAAGGTTTGAGTCACTTCCTCCTCTGTCGAGAGAGCCTGCCATACCATCTTTGGTCACACCACCTACACTTGAGTTGAAGCCACTCATGGCCACACTCAAGTATGCATTTTTAGGGCCCCAGGATACTTTATCAGTCATCATTGCATCTGACTTGATTGCAGAGCAGGAGAGTCAGTTAATGAATGTTCTCGTGGCACATCGGAGTGCTATAGGGTGGTCGGTGGCTGATTTGAAAGGAATAGATCCCTCTGTGTGCATGCATTATATACACCTAGAAGAGGACACCAAACCTTCTCGTGAAATGCAACGGAGACTTAATCCTAATATGAAAGAGGTGGTGAAAAATGAGGTATTGAAACTGTTAGATGCGGGTATTATATACCCCATCTCGAATAGCAAGTGGGTGAGTCCTACACAAGTGGTGCCCAAGAAATCGGGCATCACCGTTGTTGAGAATGAGAGAGAAGAGTTAGTCCCCACACGAACCACTACTGGGTGGTGAGTGTACATTAATTATAGGAGAATGAATTCCTCGACTAGGAAGGATCATTTGCCCTTACCTTTCATTGACTAGATCCTAGAGCGGTTAGCGGGGCAGGGTTTCTACTGTTTTCTTGATAGCTATTCGGGGTATAATTAAGTCCCGATATACCCCGCTGACCAGGAAAAGACCACATTCACATGCCCTTTTGGCACTTTTGCTTATAGGCGCATGCCCTTTGGGTTATGTAATGCACCAGCGACTTTTCAACGGTGTATGATGGCTATTTTCTTCGATATGGTGGAGAAATTCTTAGAGGTTTCATGGATGATTTTTTGGTGTTTAGACCGTCTTTTGAGGAATGCCATAGGAACTTGACTAGAGTGTTGGAACGATATACTGAGGCAAACCTAATCTTGAGCTGGGAAAAGAGCCATTTTATGGTTCGCGAGGGTATAGTGTTGGGACACATTGTGTCCCCTCGAGGTATAGAGGTAGACAAGGCTAAGGTTGACCTCATTACAAGCCTTCCTCCACCCAATTCCATGAGTGAAATTAGGTCTTTCCTAGGGCATGCAGGTTTTTACCGTAGGTTCATCAAAGACTTTAGTAAAATATCACGTCCTTTGTGTAGTTTACTTGTTGAGGACACGCCTTTTATCTTTGATGAGGCATGCTTGAAGGCGTTTGAAACACTGAGAATGGCCCTGACCACCGCCTCAATCATGAAATCACCA